GGGTGGGTATGTGTAGGTGGGGTGGGTGGGTGAGTGTGTGCGGGTAGGTGGGATGGGGTGGTGAGTGAGTGGCTGCGGCTGCTTGCACCTGCTCCGATGCCTTTTGCCATCTTTCCCGACAAACAAATTTTGCGCCGCGCGAAAAGCCACAAAAGAAAAACGAAAAAAAGCAGGAAACGACAACTGAAAAAAAGCGGGAAACGACAAACTCGCGACCGCGAAACAGACGACGCGAAAACCGTAACGACGGAAGAAAAGAAAAAAGAAAATAATGCGTGGTCGTGAAACAGATGATGCACAACCACGAAACAAACAACGCGAAAACTGTGATGACGAAAGAAATGAAAAAAAAAAAACGTGCGACCCCAAAACGGAAGTTAAAAAAAAACATGAAACGACAAACTGCAAGGAAAATGAGCGATAGCGAACTTCAGAAATCAAACAGCATCATACACATGAGACCAGATAATTGTGACCTCGAACCAATAGCAGAATTGCATCACGAGTTCCACCAAATACGAATACAGCAAAAGCTCATAATTGACAATGCTGGAATAGTCTCATCATCATCAATGATCCTATCTGGCGCTCGGCGCCCAGACTACAGATGGCAGATCTATCTAGCCTAATCTACAATGCCGCCGATGACGTCAACAGCTCCCCGAAGTATGGGCAGATCTCGGCCAATGCCGTACGCTTCAAGAACCAGGTGTGTCTCTCGTATCACTCACAACCTCGTTCCCCAACTCACAGATGCCACATGCACCCAAGGACCACCATGTGTCCCATCCAGCACACAGCAGCGCAGCTCGGCTATGGCTGCCTGCTCCTTCCAGCTCGCCCGTGAGCACATGAGCGCTGGCCAGCGTTAGCGCAGCCGCGCTTGCGCAGCATGCAGCCAGTGCCAGAATGCCGAATGTGTGTGCAGGCCCTTTCCTAAATGGAAGTGGCCTGCCTGCCTTGCGTGCAGCCTGGCTGCGCTGGGCCCCTGCCCAGAAGCTTCTGGTAGGGCCAGAGAGGCTGAGCCCCAGACCAAACGGATCAGGCCCAAGGCCTGTGACAGTTACCCGTGCCCAACTGCGGGCACCCTGAGTTGGGTCCATGCTGTGTATCTCACCCAGGGCCTGGCTCAGATGCACTTGATAAAGTAGGCCAGGGCCTGGGCGCTTTCAACCAACTGGCGCTGCGCAACTGCCAGAATTTTCCCCAGTTGCGAAGTACTCCAAAATAGGCCTCTTGTCGGAGCCTGCCTTCACTTAGGGCGGCCGACACTGTTGCAGATAGGGGCCCAGTGGGGCTTATTGAGGCCTTGTGCCTCGCAAAACGAAGAACAAAAAGAAAAAGACAAAAAAATATCCGCTCAGCTTGAAACAGACAGAACAAAAAGAAAAAGAAAAAGATAAAAAAGTCCGCCCCCCCTGCTTATCGACTGTGGCCGCTTCGAGATATTCCATAGCATCTATGCCTGTGGGCGTCCACTCACGTTTGCTGGCGCGCTGTGAACAATTCGGTATGCTCACAGCTCTGCACAGCCCCCGCCCTCGATCGCCCTCATCCACCCGCCCGTACCAAAACTTCAGCCCGATTTCGGAGTGCAGTGGACCATAGAACTCGAACGAAACAGTCTGTCACAGCCCCTTGTTTGTTGTCCGTGTCTCCCTCTCTGCTGACTGTTCACCGGCCAGTTCTCTATGACGTTATACGGGCCTTGCCGCACTACTCACCAAAATGATTTTTGGTGACGTTGGGGTCGTCGCACCACCTCACCAATTCCCTTCTATTAGAAAGTAGTCTAAACTATTAGAAAGTAGTCTAAATTTGTGCGGATTTCACTTTATGAGTGCTCACCATACTCACCAAAATGATTTTTGGTGAGGTTGGGGTCGTCGCACCACCTCACCAATTCCCTTCTGTTAGCAAGTTGTCCAAATTCGTGCGGATTTTGCACGAACTCCCTGCCTGCAATTCATCCAATGCATTTGGTAGGAGCTTTTGGGCACGCAGGCAAGAAGTACGGCACGATGCGAGCGGCCGGTCCGGTGTTCTCGCAACCCCATACCTCAGTGATACGAAGGAGGCAAGAAGTACGGCACGACGCGAGCGCCCGGCCCGGTGTTCTCGCGACCCAATACCTCAGTGATACGAAGGAGGACGGAAGAACGTTGACGCCGTCGCCAAATGATAGGGAGGATCGAATTATGGCAGGCCATCAGGATCTGATCGGAGGAGTACGGGGCGAAAAGGGCGAGATGACGACATCTCGTAGTCGATGCGAGGACGGCATCCTTGCGTAGGTGAAGAAGGGAGTGGTGGTGAAGACAGCACGCGTACGGCATCAACAGGAGTGGCGAGGATAGAGTGAGTGCACGTGGTAGCTTGTTTGTTTAGCCATGGCCTCATCTGGGAATCTTGAATTACAAGCGGACACGGGGCTTCTCACGCTTGAAGATCCTCGATAGCGCCTGCAAATACTGGTTGGGGTTTTATCCTCCGCCTCCCAGGCTTGGCCAGGTGGCGATTGGGGGGCGTCATCACCGGCTGCATGGCTGGAGGACAAATCCCAACAACTCTTAGCCATACTTTGGCAGATCGAGGTGGGCGTTGATCCGTCTCTGGAAGCTCTTGTTGATTGGTGGAAGGCGGCTGCGCTGCTAAGCAGTTGCTACGCTATTTTCGATGAAGGCGCCGACCAGCGTTCAGCAGTGATGGAGCGGCTCATGCTGGAGGCTGATGTCATCACCTCGTCTGGGGAGTCTGCGCCATCAGCAACGCTAGCATGCCATATGCAGCCACCGACAACAGTACCAACTACAGCACCAACAGCATCGAGAACAACTTCAATGAGGATACCGGCGGTAGTCACAGAAACGACAACATTGACACCGTTGATTTCTACATTTACGATTCCATCAACAATTACAACAATTTCGACAACTCATGCAGCGATTACGACAACGACATGGACAACAACAATGATCATTTCAACAACACCAACAGCACTCACGACGATGACATCTCCTACACAACTTTCGACAACTACTACTTTGCCGACAACGATGGCCACCAGGGTACTAAGTGCAACCTGGTCTCCTTCAGTCCTTACGGTGTGTGGCGTTTTCCTGACGGATCTGGATGTCACGCTGGTGCATCTACCACAAAGTACGGGATGATGCTGTTTGGGTCTGGAGGGGAGGGGAGGCATGGCAAGGAGTCATTTCCATGGGATTCTGGGGGAGATGGGGTGACACAGCAGGCGGTTCAGGCTGCTATATCCATTCAGTGTTGTGTTGCGTTATCCCTTTCTTGCATGTTCTGTATCTCATGCCGACAGGGATCGGGGCGGTTTTCCCACTCTTTTTGTCCTACTTCCCGTTCACACTCAGGATCGAGGTGGAGGGGAGTGTATTTGATGATGTTGCATTTCCGCCCTCTTAATATTTCTTTCTGTCCCTTGTCATCTGATGAGAGGCAGTATGTCATGTCGGGCTTATCAACTTGGTAAGACTGGGGTGCGGGGGGGTGGAAAGTGGGGTGTCTGCCACGTGGCAGGGGGGTGGTGGCACCCGCCTTGCACAATTGTCCTGAAGGTGCTGAATAGCAAGATTTACGGCAGATATGTTAAGCTACTTAGCTTGTACTTTACTGGATTCCGAACATGTCAGCTTCCGGCAGGGTGAGAGGGGAAAAAGATCATGGAAATATCTTGCCCCTGTTTTTTTAACAACGATTAGGGAGATTTTGGATTGATTGGGTTTGACTTGATATATTTTTTACATACTAGGCATCATCATCATTAGTATGATTATCTCACATTTTCCATAGAATCAGCAGAAGTTCATCATCAAAAAAAAAAAAAAAGAGAAAAAAAGGATTGATTTGACTTGTACTTGATTTGATTTGATTGATTGGATTGGATTGGATTGGATTGGATTGGATTTCTTTTGAATATTGCAGACCGAATTAATTTGATCTGACCGGTTCTTATCTGATCTGACAAGCTCGGGTTAGATAGGAATCAATGAGATTTGACTTGATGGGTGTTCTGGACTGCACGATGACTTTTCCCTTCCCGCTGAGGAGCATGGCTTCCGGCCGCATGGCGGGGCGGGGAGCAACCTTAATCGCAGGGTATTAGGGGCAGTGGCTTGGTAGGGCACCCATCCTTGGGTCTTGATGAGCAGTTGATCCCCTCGCACAAGGGTAATCAATGCTGCTCATCATGAATCATTGTGCATACAATGTACACGGACTCTGGACCCGCTTTCCAGCAGGTGTTGCTCCCCACAAATGGATGGAGCCTCCCCGGGCGTGATATTGGTGCCTGCTCTTATCAGCACAGCTACCATCCACCCGGGTTGTTCTCTTGAGGGGAAAAAAAAGAAGAGAAAAAGGAAAAAAAAGGAGCCTTTGGGCACGCATGGGTTTGGTGAGGTTTCCACCCGTCCAGACTGCTAGTCTGGACAGACGTTTTCTTCTTTTCCTTTGTCTTTAGCAGGTCTGTTGGCACACGATTCCTTTCAAACACAAGTTTGGTGAGGTGGTGTGGCGAGCCTTGCGTTTGGTGAGGTTTTGAGGCCCCTGAAAGACATTTCATGCTGCAGACCCCAAATTCGAATTTCAGGGTCAAAAGAGGCCAAGTCGGCTAGGCATAGGAGAAGGTCAAGTCCAACCGGTACCCACTCAAAAGTCACGTCCTATAGTCAAAAGTCATATCCCAGAGTCAAAAGTCACGTCCCACAGGCGAAGGTCACATTCCACAGGCGAAGGTCACGTCCCTCAGCCCAAAAGCAGCAGCTCACCAAGCGAAACTCTGGAAGGTACCGAGCCTTGACATTCCAAAAGCAAACAGGCCGCGGGTACGGGGTCCAAGTCAAGCCAAGTGAAGCAGAGGCTGGGACAGGTCAAGCCCAGTCAAAGTCAATGAAAGAAACTGGCCTTTGCTCATTCGTGAGAAATTGGAAGCGCTGCTGGTGCTTGTGCACTATCACGAGTGGCTGACCGCTGAAGACCCTGCTGGGCAGCGCTGTTCTAAGGCAGGCAGGCGGCCATAGCCGCATGTTAGTAGTAGCGGTAGAGTGTGAGTAGGAGGCGGATGTATTCAGAGCTGATCTTCAAGTGAGGTGAGGGAGAGAGAGAGAGTGAGGCACAGAGGTTAAGAGATACAAGCCAAGAGAGAGAGAGAGAGAGAGAAGAGAACTAGTTACTTACCTGATTGACGATGCTGGAGGATGTGCTGTTGTGCGCTAGGTGACTGGGGCAACTTATCTGCATGATATGATGTTGCGCTGTTGAGCGCTTGGTGACATGAACTCTGGCTTGTATAATAAGACGATTCATTGGAGGGTTTGAGCTGCGCTAATCTGGTCTCACTACCTCTGGACTACGGTGTGGATTCTGTGTGAACTCTCATGATGCATGCACTTGGAGTGACGATATAAGTGGTCCATTGCACCTCACTGTGTTGGTGAGCACTCACCAGCCAGTATCAAATCTGGTGAGTAGTGCAGTGAGGCCTTATATCTCGTCAAACATGACTCCTGGGTAAAACATCTGCAGAGAGCGAGAAGAGGACAACAAACGAGGGTCTGTGACCAGACTGTTTCGTCAGAGCTTCACCCATGATATATATATACGGCACACTTGTTTCATAGCTTGCAATTGACCTGCAGAACCTACACGACTTACAGACAACCCTACATGAATAGGAGGTCGGATTCCACAATTGAACAGCTCTGTTTCCGACAAGAGTTGTCCGTCCATAATGAGTTTACATTGGTAGGAATATATGTATATGCGGATTGATACATAATAACGAAGAAGTGAGAGGGTGGTTTTCATTTTTTTTCTATTTTCCACACGGGCCTTGATAATCTTCTGTGTATCGCTCCAATTTTAACAGATGTCCAAAAGGACGGAGGGTGGTTTTCTGCAGGATTTCAGACAATGTGTTGTCTGTCAAGAGAATATCCACTCACCTGGAATAAAGGTAACATTGGCTATGCAGCCATAATCATTCCATTGCCGATCTGATGAAACCGCGAAGTCACCACCAATGGCAAAAGCTGTTCCAGGCACTGGGTCAAACAGGGCCTCACGGAAGATTTCTGCAGTGGCAGGCTCCTCCCATGTATCGGCAGAACCAAAGAACGCCTTGTACGAATGGGTTACAGTCCATCCCTCCTCCATCAGCGGAATGGTGAACTCCTGGGGGTTCCCAGTCACAGGCTGAGGGTAGCGCCGGCTCACAACGAGGTGCCTTTTCGATTTTGGAACACCAAGCCTGATCCTGACAACGTCATTCCCCTGCGACATCTCGGAAGGAGCTAAGGGCAGGTACTGCCAAGCAAAGAAAGTCACTACACCTCCATAGGCATATGGCGATTGCAATTGGTCTGCAAAGGCAGAAGGTGGCAAGAAATACCAAGAATCCCCCTCTGTGGGCTGGGAGGACATTGTCATATCGCCCATGCACATGAAGCCAACGTCACCCTCTCCGTACCACTTGGGACGAAACCGAGTTCTGTCAAGTACATTCGCCGAATACATGGTATTTCCCTCAGTAAGCCATGGCTGACTCACATAAACAGACGTTGGGTTTGGGTAGCTAGGAATTGTTGTCCATTTAACGTTATTGACCAGCAAATAACAGCCTGCAAATCGGCCTCCACCCAAAAGTGCAATCAGCAGGAGCACAGCAACATGGACAAGCAAATCCATGGGCAACAATTTTCTTGTCGTTTTGAGTAGCAGCATCAGCAGAAGTCATATCCCCTTATGCAGCCATGTAGCCAGCTAACGGACATTGTGGAACAAAACAGGAAACGAACGGAATATATCTCAGCAAGGATTCTGTTGTTCAGTGACGTTCACCAATCTGGCACATGTTCACGGACCAGAAGAGCACAGCACCAACTGTCAGACTCAGCCAGGATTTCCAAACACTTGTAAGAATGGGTGGGTATATCAGGCACCTTTGCTTGTTCTTTGTTGTGGACTGGACACCCCTCCCACCCAGTCGTGGCTGTGGAAAAACAATAGACCAACATGGATGGAGGTGTGAGCATATAAGAACCATGAGTACTAGACTGGCAATACATTGAAACTGACATTTTTTCTTAACTGCACGAAATTAAATGACCTGCAATACAATGAGAACACAAAATTTTCTAGATGCAAAAGCTCACAGTAGACCAATCACGAGTAAGCCAATTGGAAAGCAGACTTAGAAAGCAAGAACACGCCAAATCAAGAACATAGTACATACTGAATACTAAAGAAGTCTCTTGACAAAGAAAGCCCTCTTTGCACCACCAGTAATCAATACAACAACAATGTAGTAGGCCTACGAGGCCTTTTTTTTTTTTTTTTTTTTTTTTTAAATATTAGTACCTTTGGCGTCCGGTTTCGACAAGTCCTGGCCAGTACCCGAACTTTCAGGAGGCCGAGCCCGACGTTGATCAATCTGATCGGCGGCCGTCGTTTCGTTTCGGCCTCCTGAAAGGACGGAGGACTAGTATTTTCGAACCGACAAAGGTACTGGTGGTTTAAGACTCTGCAGAATCTAATAGGATGGGTGATACAAGCATCCCCTCCTACTAGGTCCGCTTGGTCACTCCATCTGTGGGGAGCTGCACCTGCTGGAAACCGGGTCCAGCGTCCCTTAATTACATATGAAAATGTTGGAAGATAAGTGTACTAATACCATCGAAATGAAGAAAAAATACCTCTTCAGTCCATCAAGACCGCCAGATCTGAAAATAACATACAAGCATCTTTCCTTCTGATATTTAAGTCCCCCCCCTGCCATACCATTGTAATTCAACTAAGGCTAATTCAGAAGGGGGAAATTGGTCTGAGAAAAAAACTAGAGATCTGAGCAAGGCTCCTGGTTAAAGCTGGAACCAGTTTCTGAATATGAGCTGAAAGTCCCTTTTGAAGGACCCTTCATCCCCTTCCTCTCCTGGCCATATCACTTCACCCAAGCCCATTTCTGCAGATCCCCCCAGTCAGTCCTTTTCAAATTGTCGGATTGCATCTTGAATATCTTTCTTCTGCTGGAATTTGCCTAGTTTAGATGAAAGATTTGACCAATTATATCTAATTTCTGGTTGTACAAAATTAGCAATCAGTTCCCTTAATTCTGATCCTTCCAGCCCCACTCCCTCTCTCTCTCTGACACAAAGCTTATACCATAATGCCCATACCATTGCCTTGCAACCTACCTCAAAAGAGAATTGTTGGAAGATAGACAATTGCAATCCCTGGGGGACCCCGTGACCCAAGAGGATGACTTTCCAATCCCAAGGCCAATCAATTCCTGTTAGGCCCTTCCAGGAGCATGGTCCCATTAGCAGTCGGATAGGAGTGTGGCCAATCCAGTGTGACACTGAGTGACAGCGGGCTGACAGGTTCATTACGAATTTCTGAGCTGAGAAAACAGGAGAAAAGCAAAAAAAAAAAAAAAA